ATTCTGGGTATTCTCCGCAAACTGGTCTCCCTCTCATCTGATCAGTTGTCAGTCCCTCCCACTGCTGTAATTTGGTCTTCTTTGATTCCTAATCACGGCATCTGGTGCTTGTTTACACCTGCAGCTCTAGCCTGCGACCCGTGTCTTGTCGTCACAAACAATTTTGTCACAAACTTCTTAACTATGTGCTCCTTTTCCCTAAAAATAGATCATTATTTTGTTATTGCCATGTGCTTTAAAAGAAAAGAATGTTTGGGGATACTCTATTTCAAAGAAATTTGATACCCACCTGAGTAAAAAGGCATTCATGTTCTTACATACGACAGTGACATTGACAAGTCAGATAAAAGGGTCAAAAGTTTCTTCTACAGGAAATGGGGTACAGCAGTTAGATGGACAGAACTGAATTAAGCATATCTTAAAGTTTATCAGCAATCAAATTCAGTTTTAAATAGAGCAGAGGTCTTTCACCATGCTCCTGAAGACCCACTGTCCTGCAAAGTTTATTTCCAACCTGCTTCAATACCCCTGCCTGTAATTTTTAAACAATCCCAAAGAGCTGGATTAACTGGTTCAGGTGTGTTTGATTAGAGTTGAAGTGGGTCTCCTGGAGGAGGGTGAAAACTTCTGAAACAGATCTCAATCTGTCCTACCACTCTTTCTGGCATCTCATGTCTTCCTTTGTTTGCTCAAAGTTCGCTCAGGCCATTGTTTGAGTCGAAAATATTACAAAATTTGGAAAGTCCACCTACAAATGGCTTACTTATAGTAAACTTATAGAAACAACATAGTTGTTTCTGCACATCAAGCTGGGATGGGAAGTAGTGTTTCACTACATCTATAAAGCACATTCAAAGGTACTAAAATGTATTTAAAGGTAATCCTGCTAGTCTTTATTAAGAGCATAACTTTAATTCTACTCTAAACATACATATATTATGACAACATTTGAAGGAATGATGTAATGTGGAAAATCCCAAAGCGACTTTCGGTGGAGCTCATCAAATCTCGCCTCAGGCGGCAGACTTTCCTCTTCATTAATCACTAGCAACAGAGCTGCTTGCCGTCAGATAACAGAGCCACTATGGCAGCAGGGGAGTAGAACGTGCTAAAGATATCAACAAAAGCCATTCTTTGCATGAGATAAAGGGCCCATAGGAAGCTGGTTTTGCCCTCATGATCTAAAATAAACATGCAATTTGTGCCAAACTACACATTAAAAAGTTGATGATTTTTGAGCACATTTTAGATCAAGGGGATCACACTGGTGGAGAGGAAAAAGTGGATTGCTGTGATGGTCACAAGTTTTTGCATGTCTAGAATAGCAGGAATGTATTTACACAGAAAAGCCATTGCAAAAAGCATACGAAAGAAAGTTTATTAGAAGTTTGGCTAACAAATTTTTCAGTGTAGTCGAGAATCCCTTCTTTACAGACAGAAACATTTCTCACGCCTTTGCAACCTGATGAACAAACAGCACAATGTCCCTGTGTAGATCCCCCGTCGTCCCATCACATGTCCATCTCCCCTGCTATGTGGAAACCAATGGATTGCCAGACAACGACAGATGAACGGGACGTTAGCCATTATGTAACAAGCATTACATTGCTAAACATTGACTTTCAAACACCTGTTTAGGTCCGGCCTCTGACAAATGCTCGCATGGAGTAGAACAACACAAGTCTCAGATCAGTTTCTGTCAACTCTCGACATTACTGCACCCCAGGGAATTGTGGTTGTACGTACAGGCCTGCTGAGATGTACAGATCGAGCTGTATCAATCGACCATTACGCACCGCGGTCTCTGCTTAGATCAGTATGTTAGAATATTGATCACAGCGTTTTCTACAACATGAACTGTACACAAGAAAACATATCGACTGTTGGTAGCGTCATGTATGGAAACCATTTAAATAATATATTACAGTTCTTAGTCTTTTTGGCAACAATATTACAGAAGAATTACCACCTTACTGTTGTAAGTGGTTCTGATCTTTGTGTAAGGTTGTGGACTACAGGGTTGTAGGGGTCTCGCATCATGTTGGTTATTACCCAACGGTAAACCACCATAATCCTAGTTGCCATTGGATATCTATGGTATAAGTGTATCTGCTGATGGATTCGATGTCCATATGGAACAAAAGCTTGATATATGGTACACAGGACTTAGGCTTTCATCCCCCCTCCTTGGTGCCTACGATGACCTTGATGCTTTGGCAGGTGGTCATGGGAAATATATCATCCCTTTATGTCACTGACAGAAGATAAACTGCCTGTCCTGTTAAAAAGAAAAAGAAAAAACTGTGGACTGCCTGAAAATGTGATAGGATTTCATGCAGTTAGCACGTGTGCTAACATTCAGTTCATAATTAATAGCTTGTTTCCACGTGCTTACTGGAGCTGTGCGATTTGTAAGCTAGCTTGGGTTAGAAGCAATTCTGTACATTGTACATTGCAACAACAGTGAGTGAGCTATGGAAGTACAAATTTTTTTTTTCAATTCAACTGTCCCTGAAAAGATTTTGATCCCAGTGTATGTCAATTCATTCATATTGGAAGGACAAAGTTGATTATGTCTACTATATTACGCAACATTGCATCGCTTCTTTGATGACGTCTGTTAGGAAGCTTACACAGGTTAATCTGATCATCTACCTGTCCAGAGGTTTAGTGCAGGTCACCAGATGTGTATCTTATTTTACTGACACTAAGCTAATGCTAACTCTGTTTGCTAACACCTTGTCTTACTTTTCAAGGCTGATTGAATGAACCAAAGTAAGGAGAAAATAGACTTCCTTGATCGAAAGGGACAAAGCGTAAATTACAGAGTTTGTCGAGCTTGACGAGACAAGTAGGCACTGTTATTTGGAGGTGGCTAAATGTTGGTGTGCAAGTAAACACAGGCGTTTGTGATGCTTTTTCATGATATTGAGTGTTTAATCATGGTTTTGTCAATATTAGACAGTTTGGGGGAAATTACTAAGGATTTGCACCACTATTGCATTTTAAACCTTCAGTATTTAAATGAATTCATGTTTTCAGTGCCAACATACCTCCTTTGCATGTAAATTAGGCTCATTACAGATGTGTCTTATTCCCAGTTATTTGCCTGTTGCAATTAGCATTGTGCTATTACTACACGCAGAAAGAAATACAAAGTGGAAAGCAAAAATGGCATGCTGGGACCCCCCCAGTTGTTTCTTTGGGTTGTGTGCGATTGTATAAATCCCTTATCCAATCATAATTAATTAAGATTGAATTAGATTAGGATTTGGGCTGGATTACCGAAACAAAAGGTTTTCATGAAATGGGTTTATGATAGGGATTTCCACTCTGAGCTAATTAAAGTCAGTCACTGCACTTCCCATGATTCCCTACCCACTGCCAAAGGGACGATGAGTAACAGTGTGCATGCTAACACACACATGCCACGTCTGCTGTATACAGCGCCTTTCTGCATTTGACAGGAATTGTAAGCTTTATTATGAGGCATTTTAAGCCTTCAGCAATGTTCTTGAGGATTAGTGATGTTATTTGTCTCATTTCGCGACTATCAATGCTATCTACAGAATATGCTCATTGTTATCTAATCAGATCATTCAAGAATGAAAAAACAGAGCATTTTTTGTGGAACATCTTGACAGATCTGTTGAAGAATATGCCGCAAATGTCATGACAACTGCACGGAGATCTATTGGCACATGTCTTTTCTTCTTCTCAACCCCTTTTCACTGGTCTGGCAAAGGTACAACCACTTAAGAACCAGTTTTATCGCCAACATTTTGGGATGGTTCTAGATTGTCTTGGTTTCTGGGTTCTTTGATTCAAAAATGGAGAAGATAACTGTTCTTTACATATTGTGAAGAAAATGTTTATTTGATAAGGCACTGCTATGGCTTTTAGCATTCACGCAGGAAGTTCAATACTTTTTATAGTATAGTTCACTCACAAATGAAAACACCCTCATGTCGTTCCAAGTCTGTATGACTAACTTTCTTCTGTGGAACACAAAAGAAGACACTCTGAAGCACTGTTATTGTCCATATAATGAAAGTCAGTGGGGTCCAAAAATTGAAAGTGTTTTAAAAATCCCAAGCCATAAATATGACCAATAGTAACTGTGATTCTTTCTTTAGCAAACACCAATAATTAGCGGAAATACTTACATAATCTTGTAAACTTGTAAAACAGACAGCACCTGTCACTAACATGTGCAACAGACTGCACCCTGTTAGTAGCTCGAGGATCGACCCAAGGCTTGTCAAGCAGAGCATATGTCACCGCGCACATACCGACAGTCATTATCCACATGCTTTTTCCTACCAACACCATCCATCCAGCTGGGAGGTCACTAAGGAGCATCAACCTTCCCCCACGTCATTATCCTGGTGTGCACATGACCTGCTATAGTTGGGTTATGTTGGAATATGAGGTCTGAGAGGCCGCAGAAGATGTCTTACCTTTAACACTGCCTTTGAAATAATGTTCAAATTTAGCACACCCCTATACTGTAAATAGCCTCCCTTCTTGGTAATAAGTGTTTGATGGAATGTGAGATCTTGACTGCTTCAGTGACAAGACATCAAAATCTATCTATCTATCTATCTATCTTATCTATCCATCCATCCATCCATCCATCCATCTAGACACATTGTGACAGAAAATTTAATAAAACAAACCTCTTCCTTTTTGCAGGACATAAAAGTAATGTTTTTTCTTAAGTTAGTTCAATATCTACATTAAATACGGAGTTATGCATTTTGAAAGAAAAAAATCATGAAAAACATCTAATCATATGGAGCGTGTGTTAAAAATATTCTAGAGATCATCTCTTATTAGTTCTAGAGTATAAATGTTGTTCATTAAAAACTAATGGCTGATCTGCAGTAGGTCTGTGTTTTAAGAATCAATGATATGCTTTTGAATCATCCATAAATATATTATTTGTTTTATGTAATCTAATTTCTACACATCATACATAGCCAAAACCATTTAATGCAATAAATGTACTGTATATTCCTGTAACATAAACCAGTAAGCCATCACAACAATGACAGGCAATGATGCAGAAAAGGTTAACTACTGTGCTATGAATAGAGCTTATCATCCGTTTCATCATACTCTTCCTGCTTTGAGAACATCATATTATCATATACTCTTTAGTCTATGACATCCACTGTAAATAACTTCCGCAGGAATGCCCATACAGAAAAACAAGCTTGGATGTTTAAATATTTGCTTTAATCTGTATATAGTGATCCCTGTCAGCATATCACATCTCCACAAAAGAGGCCACGTATAGGATTCAAATGGGCAACCCACATGTTGGTGGTTGGAAATTTTGGGTCAAAAGTGTGTCCTGAAATGTCAGCTTAACATAACTTATCCTGTGTCCTTTTTTGTTCTCAGTACAAGCAAGTTGAGCAGTACATGTCTTTCCACAAACTTCCGGCTGACTTCCGGCAGAAGATCCATGATTACTATGAGCACAGATACCAGGGCAAGATGTTCGACGAGGAAAGCATTTTGGAAGAACTGAACGAGCCGTTACGAGAGGTACCATTTAGCAGCAGAAAACAATACACAACTGATAACCTGCCTTCGAACTGACAGTAAACTCACTTCTGCATTTCCAGGAAATTGTCAACTTCAACTGCCGGAAGCTGGTGGCATCCATGCCGCTCTTCGCCAACGCAGATCCCAACTTTGTGACAGCAATGTTAACTAAACTCCACTTCGAGGTCTTCCAACCAGGAGATTACATCATTCGTGAAGGAACCATCGGCAAGAAGATGTACTTCATTCAGCATGGCGTAGTCAGCGTACTGACCAAAGGGAATATTGGTATGAAGCTCTCTGACGGCTCCTACTTTGGGGGTAAGAAACACACAGAAAGAACATCATATTCATACAGAAACATATCAGTTTGAACATTATAATTACAATATCACTACATACAGCCAAATGGATAAACGGTGCAAAGCTAAACTGTTGTGTTTTGACATCCTGTTAGTGCATATCAAAATAAAAGTCACCACAGAAAATTCTGAAAAATAAAAAACACTAAGAAGTACTGAAGAACATTACATTAAAATTTTCCAAAGGCAGTAAAAATTCAGTTTTTAAGGAACAAAAGGGCCTTTAGGAATTTGAGTTTACCTAAATTATACCTGTCCTGAACAATAAAAAAACAATACAAATCATAGGAATTAATTAAGTCAACTAAACTACTCATTATATTCAAATTATCATAACAAACTTAATCAAATTCGAATAACATTGTGAATTACATGCAGCCAAATGTTTTCCCAAGGTAAATTTTTTGTAAGGTTACATTTCCAACTGTTGTGACATTTTGGTAACACATATTAAAATGCAACTTCAAGGTAAAAGGCCCAAGAAGAAAGTATGTATTAAAAAAAAACATACAATTTTAATTTCCAAAGGAAGTAATAATAAAAGAATAAATAAAAGATAAAATATTTATTTTAAATAAAAGATAAAAGTATTAGTTTTACCATTATACTTGATTATCATAATATACTACATTTTTACATTTCCTAATCAAAGAAAATTCTAAAATCACACAAGTCAATTAAATCACTCATTATCATACCAAACCCATCATATTGCAATAAAATTATGTTTTAAAGTGCCCCTATTATGCCTTTTCGAATATTACCTTTCATGCAGTGTGTCATGTAGCTGTATGTGAACATAAACTATCTGCAAAGTTGTGAAGCCGACAGTACACGATAAATAAAGTTATTGTCTATCAAAAAAAGAGTCGGCTCGCAATCGCCTAAACGAGTCGTCAGGAATTCGAATCTTATTCTGTTACGGCGCTACGTCACAAAGTAACACATTTGCATAATGTCTGCCCACGTTCTACATCGCCAACTTGCCCGCCCACAAACAGTAAAATTTCCGTGTGGTTAACATCATGTCGAGAAGACGCTGTATCCTACGCTGTGAGAGTAAATAGAAAACTAACGTGTTTTTTGACCTTGCATGCATGTAGACCTGTTTTAGGAGACTCATAAAACAATATTAGCAACCTTAAAAATGGCATAATAGGGGCACTTTAAGGCTAAACTGTTGTTAGCATATATTTGAATGCAATTTCAAAGTAAAAGTCCCATAAATAAATTATGTAAAAACAAAATACTTTAAAAGTTCCAATTAGAATTCCAATTGGAATCCTGTTGTTCACATTCCTTTACTATTTTTGATAAAGATAAAAAGCCTTCACTGGTTTGTGTTCAAACTGAAGGCTTAAAAAAATAGAAATTTAAATGCTTTAAAATCATATCGTTGCTCCATCTGAAACGCTAACAGCTCACTTGCACTGGAATACAGTGATAAATACCACTGACATTTGAACGTGACTCCTTAGTTTCTCCCTCCAGCGAGCTTTGTCCCATTTAAGATGCCGCCCCCTTCGAGGGGCTTGCTTTGGTGATCCAGAAAAAAGACAGCACTTTTTCCAGAGTCTTTAGGGCATGGTCTGGGAGCGGCAAGGAGCAGAGTTCACAGAGGCTGCAAATATACCAGGAGCCAGAAGCACTGAAGGAGGGCCACAGATAAAGAACAAATGTGCCCAATTAATAACACCTAATTAGTGGAGCAGAACAGCAATGGCAGAGCAATTTATAATGACGAATATAGAGATTCCCTCGCCAAAAACAATTACACTGTACCTTTTACAATGCATGAGAGGGGCTTATTCATGATGCCAGACTGATTTGTCATGGTATTCTATACTGATCACAGCGTCTCTGCTTTTTAACATGCTACAGTAAATAAAAAGCCCACATTCTGTTCACAGTATTCAAATGCAATGCATTTTTTACATGTTAAGGTCTTAAAGGGATAGTTCACCCAAATATATATTAAGATAACATATATTTTGAAGCATGTTTCAACTGCTTTTGTCCATACAATGAAAGTCATTTTCAGACGACGGCATTTTTCAGTATATTACAATACACTTTTCTTGGGCCTTAGGGTTGAATTGCACCAAATTAAACCCATTAACCATGGAAAAAACAAATATAAAAACAGTCTCTCATGACTTTAGGCTACCATGAAAATAGCATGGCCATTTGATTAGGTTAATAGCATAAGCCATTGTAGATGCTACTGTATTCAATTTAAGTGAATACACGGCTTTTAAATCCGCATTTGGCTACGTTCATAAGAGTGGAACATGGATACATTAAGCACATGGTTCTTAACAGCTTATAGAAATGAGAAATCATCATTAATCTCCTCAGCGGAGCTTTATATATCATAAATGATACACTGAATAGAGCATATAGGCAGTGCCGATCCTAGACTTCTGGGGGCCCTACGCAAAACTGTGTCGGCGGGGGGGGGGGCGGTGGAGTGGGGTATGAGTGGTTATGAACGAATGAATGAAACGCATTTGTCCGTGTTTCACTCCGTCTCGAATCGTGCTCGCGGAAAGCACTTGAGAAACACTGTCTCTTCCGCGGGTCGGTACGCTTTCAACACGTTCTTTTTAGTCTCGAGCAAGACTGTACGATATTCACATTACATGATTTGACTGATTTTTACGTAGAAAGGGCGACAGCACACCGCATTAAAAGAAATGATCATTCATGTTTTCATAACCGCTGGCCAAATTCAAAAACGAAACTAAAATGAAATCATCTTTGAGAGCAAGGGGGCCCCTGGTGTTTCGGGGCCCTACGCAGCTTGCGTATTTTGCATATAGGGAGGATCGGCTCTGCATGTAGGCATATGTAGTCAGCGTCTAAAGTTATATGTGAACATCCACAGTAGCAAGCACTTTCAGTTAATTTCTTTTCGTTTTCTTTTGGGCCATGAAATACAGGGAGGTTTGTGATATTATATGTTGTTAATGTAATGACTGTAAACTGGAGCTAAATTTGATCTCCACACTTGTGGTAAAGGAGGCACTTCATCACAGATCTGACAGCTCAGTTTTGCACGCTGGGATACGTCAACCCAAACTGGGCATGTTGTGAAAATGTGATTTTTGGCAGACTGCTGTTTTTGCAGGGTTATTATTAGAGGTAAAATCTGACTTTTTTTGAAAGTGCACAAGTTCTGGTTCAGTTGTATCGTTCAATCAATTTAGCTTTCAAACCAGTGCCCTTGTTAGTATACAATTCATGTGTATTAATCAGTTTTTGAGCCCTAGATTTTGAAAGAATTTCACATGCAGTATTTAACAAGAAGCTGTGTGTGCCAACTTTACAAAGGCTTGTCAAAAAGGGACGTTGCCAAAAACAAAAAACAAAAAAAACTTCAAAGACCCAATGAGCTGCACCAACAGCTGGAGCACTAGAGGAAAATGCAAAGTCTACAAAATTACTTATTGAAATTCTACACATTTTAATGAAATACAATAACCAGTGCAAAAAAGAACACTTTCTTAATCAGTATTTTTGTAGTTTCCTAATAAAAAAAAACAGGTAAGCATCCTTTAATCTCCTTAAAAATATTAATTTAATTTTAAGAAATAAATACATTTTGGTAGATTGAATAAATAAAAAAGGCCAGTTGACAGTTCTGAAAAAACAACCAAATCGGACTAAAAATTCAGTATTATTAATTGAACAACTGTTTAAGGAACAGAATATTAAGTCTTTTATCTCAAAGGTCCTTATTAAGATGCACATGTTACCCAGAATTAAAGCTTTATTGATTTTTTATGACAGGCAACATCCACTTGACTCCTCAGTGGAGTTTTATCCACTCTATAGGGATGAGGGCCACAGCTACTTCAATGAGAGTGAGCTGTGCCAACATTCACTTTGAAGTGTGGCCACATTTTCAACTGGGCATGTCCCAAATGCTGAGCATCCTTTCGACTGGGTGTGTGTAGATAGAGCCTTTTCAGTCAGTGACAGGATCTTACCTCTTCATAATGCTGAGTTTGACCTTCCTCTCAGAGAGAAGAGACATAGTCAGGAGACAAAGCAAACTGTCAGGTCCTCTACAGTTACATTTTCAGGTTTCAGCTCCAGGGGTGGTGCAATTTTGCTGTGTTCTTTCAAAAAGAAAGAGAAAAGACAGAAAACTTAATTATGATGACTATTATGTTGATGTTTGGAATACTGTTCACAAGAGAACATTAGTTCCAATGATGTTTTGATTACCTGGTTCAACATTCCAAAAAGAACACATGGTCAAGCTGGATGGTTTTAGAGGGTTTTTTTGGCCTTTGTCCACTGGTCAGACTAGGAGAGCAGCTGGCCAACCAGCCAAATCAGCTAAACAGTAGCTAAGACCAAAGTACCTGAAGAAAAGCTGCTTAAACCAATGTTGTATGATTGAACTTGGTCTACTAGCATGGCCAAGTTGGTGTTCAGCTGGTCTCCCAACTGACCAGTGCCAGAAACCACTAAAATCAACAATCCGGTCTAGCCTGACATGGCTGGGAAACCAGGTAAGATGAGCAAACCATCTTAGGCTGTTTTTTTTTTCCATCAGGCCTAGCCAGCCTTCACTGGTCTTAGTTGGTCAACCAGCTTGACAAGTACTGAAGACCTATCTAAAACCAACCAAGACCAGCAAACCATTAGGTTGGTTTAAGAAGGTATAGCATGTCGGTGCCAACAGCATGTGGGCAGCATGCTGACATACTGTTGCGCTACAGGTGTCCCGAGTTCGAATCCTGACCTTTCCCGATCCAGCCCCGCTCTCTCTCTCTCCTACTTCCCTTCCTGTCAGCTCTAAACTGTCCTATCATAATAAAGGCAAAAATGCCAAAAATAAATCTTAATAAAAGAAGATACAGCACCAGGTACAGCCAGCCTTCGGTGGTTTGCTGGTCTTAGCTGGACTCCCAGCTTGACAAGTACTAAAGACCCAAATAAAACCAACTAAGACATATTCGAGACCCACAACCATGATATGTCCTGTTAATTTTCAGAGATCTGCCTGTTGACCCGTGGAAGACGAACCGCCAGTGTGCGAGCGGACACCTACTGCCGACTATACTCGCTCTCTGTGGACAACTTCAATGAAGCACTGGAGGAGTATCCAATGATGAGGAGAGCATTTGAGACAGTAGCCATTGACCGCCTTGATCGAATAGGTAAGTCGCCTAGAGAGTAAATTCAGTAGCATTAATATGTAGCATTGTGCTTATAAGAACCATAGTAATACTATAGTACTCCCCCAGTGAATTTTGTGAAGGTGTATTTAACTGTGTTAGAGGCATTACTGGTACACAGCACAGAATCCATGTGTTTGGATATCCATTGGTCACATCTGTGGGCAGATTTGAGTCCCCTCCAAAATTTGTTTGTCTTCAACACGACTGTTTTGCCATCTTTGGCTTGTGTCCTGAGCACATAAACACGTAATTTGCCAAGAGAGGCAGGCCACCTGCCCTCCTCACCCCTCTCAGCATCCTCTTTCCTTATCTCCCAAGGTCAGTGTGCTGCTGATGTCACTCCCTGTCACACGACCACCTCAGTTGTTTACATATTGGCCATGCAGCCACCCCACTCGCCGCTGTTGCCATGGCAGCCAGATTCCATAAATGATCAGTTCAGACCACAGATGCTTTGCAGAAGAACATCCACTACCACAGTCTCACATTCAATGACCTGCTGCAACGTCAATGTTGGCTGTTAATTTTAAGAACATCAGAAGTGACAGTTTATTTACTATGGGAATAGAGAGGTTCAGTCATGACGTAAATTTGTAGGCTTACCAGAAGGCTTATTTCGGCATGGGTTCCCTCAGTAATTTTCTATGGGTTTTTTAAATAAATATGTTCTGAAATAAGGTTACTTGAAGAGAATTTCCTTTTTTGTTCTTAAAGCAGAAATTAAAAATCATTCATACCTCAATCGTGAAATTTTAAACCATAATGTGCTTAAAGGGGTCATATGATGCTTTTTTAAAGATCATTATTTTGGAGACTTTAGTCTTTGCAACTTCAGGGATCTTATCTAAACTTGAAATCGCATCATATGACCCCTTTAAAAAATATAAGTTGCTACATAATAGCAATACACCTTGTTAGCTCACAATGGTTTCAAAATTCACCTTTAATGTACGGTTTTATGTTGTACAATAGAAAGTAAAAGCCTCTTCGAATAATGTCTAACTTTATTTGTACGTATAAATTCTGATATTCCCCACAACATGAAAATACTAATAATGCTAAAAATGCTCATTCTCCTGGGTTTTGGGACAGCAAATTGAACAGCTCTATTCAACATGACAACATCTCAGCTCTAAACATGATGAATGCCATAAATCTGTGCCACACATTGCGTGATATGCAGCATGTAGCTTGTGGAAGACAGCTTGGTGAAATTGCATGCTCAAACCACGAGTGATAGTTCTAAGTGTTATTTGTATGTGGTACTGGAGACGGAGGTGAGAGAAATTGAAGGCGATGTTGGGGCCCTGCCAGCAGGAGCTGTGCATAGGATAGCATTTTAGCTGCAAATTGTCTTGCTAGCAGCAGGGTGTAGGTGATAGGCACGCGCCATGTCGCGAGTTAGTGTTAGCGGTGCCGTGACTCAGCACAACGACATCAGTGCCAGACATAGCTTCCCTCTCACTGGAAATCTCAGCAGGGCTCTGGGGCTTGTTGTTCACAGAGAACTGGTTGACCCATCAGTCTGAAAAAGCAGTCATCAGAAAAAAACTACAGGAGTCCACTGAGTAAAGTGCAAACATCCATCTGAACAAGTTCAGTCAACACAGTCAAACCAAAAGACAATACTAGAGGTGTGCAATACTACATATTTTAAAAATAAACAGCATAATTATGCTGGTTTGGGGTTTACCTCACCCCGATTGGACACGTTTCTTAAGAGGCCATTTCCTGAGTCATGTTCTTGGATTATTTTTTTACCTTGACAGACCATCTCTATAGACCAGTGGTTCTCAATTGGTTTGGCTTTGGGACCCATGTTTTCACATGGTCATCAAGTCGTGACCCACTTACCATATATATATATATATATGTATATATATATACACACACTGTGCCTCATTTATTTATTTTTTTTTACATTTTATGTTGCTGCCTTATGATAAACTTCTTTAAATTACTTTTTTTCCACATCAATCTACACTCCATACACCATACTGACAAAGCAAAACTTGGATGGAGGCAGATGCACATTTTCAGGTTTCTCCATAATTATTTGATTGGGTTCAATCCCAGGCTCTGGCTGGGCCACTCAAGGACATGCACAGAGTTGTCTATTTGAGCCACCGCAGTCGTTTAAACATATGCAAAATGACACAAAGTGAAAATAACATAGTATTTTTGGGTTATGGAAACAACAGAGTTACCATGGTGAATATACAATACTAGCATGAACTGTTAATGAAACGTGGAAACTGCTCCTGAATAGAATGAATCTCATACCTTCATGCAAATCCTTCACAGCTAACACACACAGTACCAGTTATGTGATTTATCGGTACTGTACTTTTATTTCACGCGTTGCATGCTCGTAGTTTCTGCGATTTAGTGAAGTGATATACAGCACGGCGCCGCGTTCTCGCGTCCTATTGAAGAGTGCACGCTACAAGTACGGTATAACATCTGGCAGGTCAGGATAGTTCGTTTTTCTGAGATGAGAGACTTTTTATTTCATAAATAAAAATATATTTGTATATTAGGGTTGTGTGTTATACCTAATGTTGTTAAATGAATGTTTATTTCATTATTTCAGTTTGATGTGTGTTACCATGATGGTGTTTAGTGTTTGTGTGAATGACACTGTGCACCTTCTATATATGTTATTATTTAAAAGCTGCTTGTGATGGGCTTTGGTTCATCATGTGACTTTCTCATCACCACCTGCATTTGGTGGTTATCAGTGTATTACAGAGGTACAAAACAGATTTCAGTACTTCAATACGTTGGTATATTAACATTATATCAGTTAATGAAATAATGGTATTTAACTGTAAATTTAAGTTAAAACCGTAAAAACGAAAACGTTGCTACCATATTTTTTACGGTAAAATTCCGGCAACCACAGCTGCCGGTTTTTTACCGTAAATTTTACGGAATTTTTTTTACAGTGTGGTAATGAGCTGGTCCTAAGCTGGTCCTGAGCAGGAGCTAGTTGCTTAGGATCAGCACATGACCAGCTTAAACCAGCTCATGACCAGCTTAGGACCAGCACATGGCCAGCTCAAACCAGCAGCCATGCTTCAAAACATACCTAACCAGAATATGCGGTTTTTTCAACAGGGTCCAGTTCGAAGGGAGCATATATGTTCCATTCAGAGAGCATTAAAGTGTGCGAGACATTAATTTAAATTGTATTTATTTCGAGAGGTATATTATGTCACACTTTACAGTTCTCTGTTCAATGGATTTCCTGTGTTCAGGGAGTAGGGTGCAAAGAACACTGTGTAGGGACCCTGTCAATTGGAACACAGTTCATGCATGGAGCTAACTTCTAACGAGCTGATTATCTGAATCAGGTGTGTTAAATAAGAGAGACATGCAAAATATGCAGAGCAGTGGTACGCGAAGACTGGAATTGAGAACCATTGGAGTAGATTGTAATGGGTTCACTGTAATAAGAATTAAACTTTTAGGTTGTTAGTAATATTACTCTTAGAGATCCTTCTCTGCAGTATTCCTACCTAGTTAACAGATATTTGTGTTCAAGGCAATAACTGACCGTGATCTGTACATTTCAGGCAAGAAGAACTCCATCCTGATGCACAAAGTACAACACGATCTTAACTCTGGCGTCTTCAACAACCGTGAGAACGAAATGATCCAGGAGATTGTTAAGTACGATCGGGAAATGGTTAAACTGGTTAAACAAGGGGACATGCAAAGGCCCAGGGCCATGTCCATGACTCCTTCAACTCACGGGAACATATTTGCACCTTCTAGTCAACCCTGTACAAGTTCTGCCATTGCTAGCCTTCAGCAGGCTGTTGCCATGAGCTTCTGTCCCCAGATGGGCCTAGTGGGTTCTGGGGCGGTCCCGTCTCCCCGCATGGTTCGGCGCTTCCAGGTGGTCCAGACACCCCCAGGCTCCCAGTACTCCACCTTAGCCCTCGCCTCTGCCCTTGCAAGCACACCTGTCCACAGCCCTCTGGCAACTGCTGGTCGAACGTTCCAGTATGGTTCTAGCCCCCCAGGTGCACCCTCAGGCTCCCAGTTATCCCTTGTACAGCAACACGTCCCCAGTCCCACACATCGACCTCCAGTCCCCAGGAGCACTCTAAGCCAGGACGCCCGAGTCCTATCCGCCTCCCAGCCGTCCTTACCCCATGACATGGTGCAGCCAGTTGCCCCAAGCCCTCCTCAGTCCACCAGAGTCTCCTCCACTTCCATCGGTCCCCCTCAGAACCTCCCAGGCCCTGCTGGTCTTAGAGGAAGTATCCCACCAAGAATGGCACTACCCCATCAAATGTCTGTAGGTTCATTTCCTCCTGCCTCCCTCCCTCAGATGAGACCCAGCTTGGATTCAGGACTGCCCAAGAAGGATTCAATAATCAGTCTCCCAGAAACTGAACCACATCACATCAGATCTAGATTATCGTCGAATTTGTGACCACAATAGAGTTGGTGGGCTCTGTCTGGGTCAGGAATGTGTGGACTCTCCTTCACCAAGTACTATTGCCGACCCCCGTCACACCTTTGAAATTTACTCTCAGAATGTATGTGGTGTGACTGGCCATAAGGGCAAACAAACCATCGAGACTTTTTAGTATAAAATGAACATGTCTGTATCATTCTTACCACGACTGGAACTTTTCCATTTTACCTATGATATAAACATCAATGTAGCTTCCACCCTCACAATTTGCCTCTTTGAAATGGTTTTCTTCATTGTAGCTGTTCACAAAGATTACAAATGTACCACTCCCTTTTATATACTGTAGTTCAAACGATATGTGTCTGAATACCGGTACTTAGCAGTTTGCTTCTGATCACAATGTAGGAGCTTACTCCCTCTTCTCAACATGAACCGGCTAGACAATAGATATTTACCCTATAATGCACAATATTAGAATTGTTATAGAAAAAATGTATTCAACGGCTCGAGAGTCCCAAATCGGTTTCGAAACGGGATGTATTCTTACTGGAACTGCTGTCCATGTGTTTGTCTTATTCCTTCAGACCAAAGTTGGGCCAAAGGAAAATGTTAACAGGAGATGACATGTAAAGGTGTGTCAAATGAAATGAAAGGATAAAAACAAATAATGTATTCTTACTGGAACTGCTGTCCATGTGTTTGTATTATTCCTTCAGACCAAAGTTGGGCCAAAGGAAAATGTTAACATGAGATGACATGTAAAGGTGTGTCAAATGAAATGAAAGGATAAAAACAAATATAATTTCATTGCCTTGATTTTGACAAAATACTGTGTGTGTGACCATACGTGTGTGTTTTTCTTAGCTGTCCCACAACAGAGCACATTTTACTTCATTTAGCGTTGGGACAATTAAATGAATCAACAGTTTCCTAATTAAGGTTCATGGAAGTGAATACCACATAAATTTCAAGCTAATTATGCTGCTGAAGTATGAAGTTTAATGACAGGGAGACTCATTTGCCCTTATCTGGTGCATTCAAATGCATTTAAGTCTTAATTACAAAGGACTTAAGTAGCTTTGTTCTCAAAGGTCAGGTTTCATAATTAATGAACTGTTTATTTCAAAGATTGTGGCTTTGTCCTGTTTGTGAAAGTCTCCCTCCACAAATAAAGCTCATGAATATGACTTAATGCTCAAAGCCTAAGCAGTTGAGGGGGACTGCACATTTTAGAAAGCTAGTGAGGTTAAGCGAGTGAGTACATTGACAGTGATTACTCCCCTCCTCTGAAATGTGACGCGATCCATCAGGTGACGACGTGTCGCTCCACTATCAGTTGTTTTGGAGCACTAAATAACTCGCTCGCCATGGCTACCTAATGAGGTCTGATGTCCTCTCAGTCTTTGAATCCTTGAAAACCTATTTATATTCTGCTGTTACTTACCATTTCACAGCTTGAAAGAGACTATAGGCTGCTCCTATTTGTTCTTGGCATCCTGGAGACAAAGCCAAGCGTGAATTGATCGTTTATGCCTTCTAAAAAAGAACAAAATGGGCAGATGGTTGAAAATAGCATCAGACTGTTCGTATGCAGGGTGTAAAGTTCATTTTTGATTACTTTGAATAGAATCATAATGTCTTTCCCTTGTAAAAACAGAGTTTTAAATGATTCCCTGTGGACCTTGCTGTGCACAAGCCAGTGCCGCCCCATAAGCTGATTAAAAAACAACAACAACCTTAATAGCTGCTTTTAATGATATCCTCAGTTTTATGTTGCACCAAAAACAGATGTTGGTTTTATTCAATATATGCCAAGTGTTACTTTTTTTTTGCCAAATTCTAAGTAATATTTCAAGCAATAAAGTTTACAATATGTCCATGAGAAAATAATATTTGTCTCAGCTGGATTTATCATTAACAATACACACGTTCCACAAAGTACCACTAAGTTATACTATGCATTATGGTAGAGGAAAATTTTTTTTTTATTATGAAACTTTTGTCTGGAGGGCATGTTAACTTTTACAACTCTGCATACATTTGATTTATCATCATTTATCCATACCATCTGTGGTTATTTTTTCATGACTATATTGATTAAAGAGCCATGTTTTTAGCAGCGGTTATGCGGTTGTTTGAATAAACTTTCAAAACAGCTTGTGATGAAGCTACTTAACAAACAGTGTTCCATTAATTAGGATGTTACAAGAGCCTGGGGTTGTTTTGCAGCTTTGTGTGAAATAAAGGTGTATAATGACAGGCCCAGGGTCAAATTTACTTACCGTTTAATTTAACTTAATTGACTTCTTTACATCAGGTCTATGATGTTTGGTCCAGCATATCTGAAATGCAATTATATTTGCTTAAGATCATAAATGGAAGTAAACCACAGCATCATCTCTCATCACCAGCTATAATTTTCCAACAAAAATGTGCAAATCTCATTTAAAAAAATGTTTGCCCAAGTACCCGTTGTGTTTTTGTAGTCATACTTTCCTCTGAGAGCCTGTTTAATGTCTAAGCTGACAGTTATTAAGGTTTCAACACGATTTTGCGTTTGTCAGACAAGCTACCATAAAAGAAGTAAACTTTAGACATTTGCTAAGTGCTCCTGTATGTAAGTTCCTCTCTTGAACTTTCTCTGAGTTGACAGTGTGGTCAGTCTACTCAAGATGTTGAAAGATGACATGGTGAACCCTTGAGAGGCATCTTTCCCTCAGAAGGCATCTCTGTGACAACTTCAATCAATCCACTCCACTGTTGAGCGCACGGAAAATGTTTATATTTTCTTGGAGAGGTATTGCGCATTAGAAAAAAGAAACTAGAAAAATAAACTTCAAAAAAGTTTTTTAAAACAGAAACAGTAATAAAAAACATGCATTTGATTGA